AGTAAAAAATCATGATTTTACATGAAAAATATTTTTTTTGTTATGACACATCACACAATATTTGCGGTGAACATGTAGGATTAATTGAATAGCTGTGTACAACAGCAATTTCATAATTTATGGCAGAACTGTAGATAGTGAAAATATCTATATAAATACTTAATAAGCCCCTTTTCCCTTTCCCAGGAACTCATGAATCGCTAAATTGCAATACAGAGTAGACTCCATGCCCCCCTAACATGGCCTTGCCCCCCTAGCCCCCCCCCCCTAGTTGCGCGCCTTATTCCTATGAACCATGTACTATTTACTATTTTGAACTGGAAATATCCTGATTTCAACGTAAATGCAAAGCGTGTGAACCCTATTTGAATTAAAAAGTATTCAAAATTGTAAATATTGTCCCAATGAAAATACAGGGTTACCCACAAAGTATGAGAATTCAGAGACGACTTTTTAGAATTTCTGCAGAAACCTTGGTTCAATTTTTCAGATCGGTACTTTTTTTATCCGTTTCAGGTCGTAATTAAAGTCTCATCTTTTGTGGGTAACCCTGTAAATACTCAACTTATTCTGATAAAAATGTGACAAAGTGTTTCGACCAAATAATCTTGAAATCGATTCCTTTCTTGCATAAAACAACATTGTTTAAATTGCATGCGGTGTGTTGTGCGAAATTGTTGAACTCCATTCTAGCGTATTTGCAAATATATCGCAAAAAAAACAGGGCAAACTTTCTCAAATTAGGTTTATAAGTTGTCAGAAGTTAGACCCGGAAAACTTGGTAGAATTATTTTTGACATGAAAGTTTATTTTGTGAAGTTTGTTTTACCCTGGTAAAAGACGGAGGGAAACCTCAGTTCTCCAAGTTTACTCTAGTAGCTCGGATATAAGAGCGTTTAAGGAATATATATAGAACAGGAACCATCATAGTTTTAATTAATTTTACTGCAGATACTGGGATCTTGTCAGGGTAGCGCTGAGATTGTTTACATTCCTCCCAGAAACTGCAGTACAATTTATTTGTAAGCACAATATTGGAACCATATCTTTGTTTACAAACAAATTGTACTGCAGTTAGAAACTGAGTTTGTTTACATAACTCTCAGAAACTGCAGTGCAATTTATTGGTAAACAATTATATGGGAACCACATTATATCGTTCCTTACAAACAAATTGTACTGCAGTTTTTGGATGGACAATGCAGTACAATTAATTTGTTTACAAAGATGGTTCCTAATGTTTCTGCCTTGCACTGTTATAACAAAGTTTACTGTTCTAGTAAAATACAGTGAATTCCAATTAACATAATCAAATCTATATGCATTCGGCATACACACCATTACACGCCACACTCCCATATCAGCATTCGGCATACACCATTACACGCCACACTCACATATCAGCATTCGGCATACACCATTACACGCCACACTCACATATCAGCATTCGGCATACACATCATTACACGCCACACTCACATATCAGCATTCAGCATACACATCATTACACACCACACACACATATCAGCATTCGGCATACACATCATTACACGCCACACTCACATATCAGCATTCAGCATACACATCATTACACGCCACACTCACATATCAGCATTCAACATACACATCATTACACGCCATACTCACTTATCAGCATTCAGCATACACATCATTACAATTTATTTCACCCATTTCATTCATTATAATTATTTCATTTGATGAAAAGGCATTATCGAAAAAGTATATAGAAGCTACGCCCAATAGCAAATTTCTTTTTTAAATGAAATTTTTACAAATGCAAGTTGAAAACCAGGTAAAAAATTTGGTCTTGTATATTATTATTGCTCTTAATCAAAGAAAGTTCGTTTAAATAAATTCTGTCCATTTAATTGTGTAAAATCAAGAATGTGCCACCGTTCCAAATAAATGGAATCATCATGCATGATTTTCAAGCTAGACCTATATATTGTGTAAATCTTGGCTAATTGCGCGAAAATTTAAGAAAAACAACGTTGCAGGAATTGAAAAGACTAGACAAAGAAATCTCAATGAACTGGAAGAATTTTGAGAAATCAGCTGATTAAGAAATAATCCTTATTTGTTTACGCGAACTGACGCAAGTCTTTTTTTGTTTAAAAATTACACTGTTTAAACCTAACTTTAACTTTTTTAAATGCTTCCAAAAATTTTAATTTAACGAGCTTATGTCTATGTATATCTTTAAAAAGTAGCAATCTCTGTTGTTAGAGTGTATGTCCAATCAAGCTTATGAACCCCTTGACCGATTTGCCTCAAATTATGAATGGGTAACTTGCCATAACCACGAAAATTTTCATATCTTGGTTTAAAAATCCTAATTTCCAGGTAACGCTGGGTTCCCAAGCTAGTTAATGATAGAACAGCCGTGTCTAAAAATAAATTTCCAAGATATTTAGCTGAAAATAAAATACAAAATATGCAGCAAATATAATAATTCAACCTGTCATAATAAACCCTCAGAAAATACAATATTTACGTCTTGAAATTCTACCGGAGCTGAGGTCAAATCTTTTGTTTGAGAAAGTGCTAATCTACACAACCTTAATCTTGATGGATAATTATAGTGATCCATAAGTTTTAGTTATCGCAGCAAGTTAAGACCACCACGGGATATCCAAGTTGAATCAATCTAATCCGTAGAACTGAACAATATTCGGATAACTCCTTAATCCCCGGATTCACGAAATTAAAAGTTTTAACCTCTGGAAAGCTTTCTTTATCTCCTGTTTCGACTAAAGAGTGGAAAACCTGAGATGGAATTTAAAGAATTTGAGCCGCGGTTTAAATCCGCCAAAACCCGGTTTAAATTAAGCGCTGACTTAAATCTTGAAACATTTGATAGAATTTTAAGTGGAACCAACCATATTTAAACCGCAGCTTAAATTTAAACCGCCGCTCAAATTCTTTAAATTCGGCCACTGGTCATTTTAAATGCTTTGCTAATTTTCTGAAAAGGTCAATATGATATTTTCGGTAGATTTAAAGTATAGATTGAAAACGTTCCGTAAATGAACGACAGTGCAGTAAAGAAACGGAAAATTCCGTTAACAAGCGAAAAAAACACGTTAATTTTTAAATCGTTCACAAACGAAATAAACTTTTAGAATTTCTTAATTTTTATGGTATAAAGAAAAAAGAATTCCAACCATTAATGAACGAATTAAAAAAAGTTCAAACGTTCCCACTGCGCACTGTGCACAGCCCTAGTTGCCACTGCACACTGTGCACAGCCTTAGTTCCCACTGCACACTGTGCACAGCCCTAGATCCCACTGCACACTGTGCACAGCCCTAGTTCCCACTGCACACTGTGCACAGCCCTAGTTCCCACTGCACACTGTGCACAGCCCTAGTTTCCACTGCACACTGTGCACAGCCCTAGTTCCCAATGCACACTGTGCACAGCCCTATTTACTTTCTAATAAAAATATTGGCGTTTTAAGGGAGACATCAAGGATTTTAAATTGTTCATTGTCAGCTAATTACATGACGTACTTATCAGTTTAAGCAAACCTGGCTGTAAAGATTTTAGACAAAAAAAGAAGAAAAGAGTAAAAAAAAGTATTGCAGTTTTTAAATGAGATAGTTCATTTAACAACTTTGTCGTGCTAAAGAAGGCTATTTCAATATAAGCGAACCCTCTCTTTCAAGTGAAAACTTGACAAAAGTAAAATTCATGCTTTCACTCCTAGACTTCAGGACACAAATCAGATAATTGTTCAGGGGCGTCCTTAAGAACTTGTTCCCTACAGGGGGGGGAGGCCGTAGGGGGGATATTTAAAATTTTGATTTGTGATTCAGCTCCGATCGATACAGGGGGAGGGGATTTATATTTTTTTTACATAATTCCAATCGATTAAGTTTGGTGGGGGGGGGGAGTTAAGAGAAAAACTTTCCTTATTTTCCATCCTGATGTTGCATCCACATGCATCCTCAAATCTGATAACTTATCTTTCTATTCATTTTTCTTTATATTTTATAACTTTTATAACATCTGTAACGAGTCCTTTTTTAACGAGTTCTTCAAATTTGAACCTTTAAAAGTATTAAAACTTCTGGTTAAATGTTAAGAATGAGTTTTATAAACTAAACTGTATCAAAGTTTCATATTTCAGCAAGGAACTCGAAGCTATGAATTCAAAGTAAACATTCCTGTCTATTTAATGAAAGATGGAAAATATCAAAGTAAATTATCAATACTTCTTTTTGTCAAAAGAAGTTTACATGGTAAAAAAATTGACGTGAAAAACTGAAACTCAATTTAAAAAAATACACATTTTCTTTTTTAAGATTCCCTTTAAAACAAAAATCTGGGAGAGGGGAATTCCCCAGATTTATTAAGACATTGCCCTTTCCTAACATGTTTTTGCCAGCAACAGTGTAGATAGTATAGATACATCCTTTCATAAACTTATTTTTTACGATCTTTATATAATCACATACAGATGCGTCACACAGAGGGAATTTTTATATAATTATAATGATAAAACTAAGCTTTTACCCTTTTATGGTAAAATTTTTTAATTTTCGTGGGTTTTTTTAAATTAGTGAATTTTCAAAAGTTAGAAATGTTGATGTTTTTTCAAGGCAAAATTGTTCAATTTTAATTGTCCCTGAACCTTTCCTAGGATCATGAGAGTTGCCACAACAAAAATTGTGGGCGGTCGGTTTTTCCGTTTGACGTTTATCTGATACAATTAAAAATTTAAGATCTACTGAAAATGTAATATTTATCATTGTAAGGCAACATGGCTTGTTCTAGTGTTAAAAACATTTAACGTCCAATAACTGTACTTTTAAATGACCGAAATGAGCATATTCGATAATGCTAATTTTAAACTATACAGTGCTTATAGGTTTGCAGTCAAATAAGTGCAATTATATACGTTCTTTCTTTTATTTAGTTTCTCTACATTACTACACCTTATAATTTTAGACTATTAGTGCTTAGGTTTGCAGTCAAATAAGTGCAATTGCATGCGATCTTTCTTTTATTAAGTTTCTCTACATTACTATACCTACTAGCTAAAAACAAAGTATCTTGAAGCTTTTTATAAAACAGGGTGAAGAAAGAATAGGAAAAATCAATGCCTAATTAACAAAAATGACTGGTGAATTAAAAGTCGACCATGCGTATACTTTGCAAGAAAATAGTCTATCTATATTCTTTTAAACACACACTTATACATACTCATTGATTCATGCATTCACTTATCCATACACCTATCCATACTCATCTATAAATTACACTCATCCAAGCATATACTTGTCCACACTCATCCATACATTACACTCATCCAAGCATACATTTATACTTACTCAACCAAGCATACATTTATTCATACTCATTCATACATTACACTCATCCAAACGTGCACTTATCCATACTTATCGAAACTAAACTAAGGGTAAAAAATTTATTTATTTTTATTCCCAAAAGAAAATAAAGTATGATAATGTCCCTGGACTAGAAGATCATGTACATCTACTACAATGAGACTGTTCTCGGTATGTATTAAATACACTGTACACACTGTACACACTGTACACACTGTACACACTGTACACACTGTACACACTGTACACACTGTACACACTGTACACACTGTACACACTGTACAAACTGTACACACTGTACAATATAAAGGTGTTGACATTCAAACGTGTGAATAAAGTCGAATTTTCAGAATTGTTCGCCAATAACAAAATATTTTAGATATATTTTTTTGGTCAGTATTAAGAGAACTTGTTAGTTTAGATACGTTTTTATATTTGTTTATTATGTGGACAACATATATCTACAGATATTCTCTTTGCATATATTTTTTATCATTGACCACAAAGTTTTATATCACTCTTCTTGCACTAGAGTGCATACACTGCACAATTAAAGCATTTTTGTTATGAAATAAAAAAAAACAGTGATATCCAATAGGAATAGGAAGAAAACTAAAGTTGTAACTTTAAATAAACATGAGACTCAGCAATTGTGCAGTGTAAACAGGCCCATTTTAGTTAATAAGTGATATATAAACTTGCTAGCAAAGCTATTTATTTTGTAACAACATCAAATGCACTTTAGATAATTGTAATTATAATAATCATTTCACATATTTTGCAAATCTGTAAAAATTTGATAATTAAAGATGGGAGGTTTCAAATTTGTTAATTAATCAATTTTGCGCAAGAAATAACTATTTTTAATTTAACTTATTCATTCTGTTCTTTTTTAATTATAAATAGACTTTTCTTACAACGGTTCCATTTAATACATTTTTTATTTTCTTTATTATCTTTTATTAATAAATTCAAAATAATTTGTTTAATGTCACTTAAGATATTGTATACAGTTCCTTTTTCTATAAATAGAATAATCTTAATACATATTTAATTTTCTTGACTAATGTACTTTCATAAATCAATAAATTGTCTTCCATTGACGAATAATGGTTTAAATATTAACTTTCTATATCAATTCAAAGTGACGACGATTAATCAAACTTTCTCGAAAAATAATTTCGATTTAATACTTTTTTTGTCATTTCATTTTATACAAACATTTATTAACGCTTACCTAGACAGATTTAACCGTCTTTATTTTGTTGATATATTAGTCAACCACCGTAATATATACACAAAAAATTGATAATGACCCCCCCTCCCCTTTCTAAGATGGGGAGGACTTATAAGAGATATATATAATATAAACCTCATGCTGCAAATTTAATATCAATGTTAATAGTTTATCTTCTATATATATTATATATAGTAAATAGTAAAAAAATTGTTATTAATAGGTTTTTTTATAATTGCAATGAGTTTAAATTTTCACCCATAACTCAAATAAATCTTTTAAAACTTATTTTAAACTGAACTTCTTAGATTATTTAATTCAAAAATCATGAATGTTAGTAATGTAATTTATAGATTTATTAATAACAATTTAATATTTGATTAATACAGGGTGAACAATTGTTTATAACTATTTATCAAACTATTGTGTACTTTATCATTCTTACTCACTTCATCGTGAATTTCATAATGAACGTGCTATAAAGTAATAATCGTGCTATAAAGTTAAGTTAGCTGTATTATAGCACGTGTGCTATAAAGTTTTGATTGGTTCCAGGATTTTCTCCAAACAATTTAGGAATTTTCCAAAATATTTTTTTCAGTTGGAATGAAAATAAAATTGAAAAAAACTTTATATTTTGACTTCTGATTTGTTTCAAAGCTTACTTGATTTAAAAGAGCCATTGAAATAAGACAAGTACACAAACGTTTCATAAAATTACCTTTAACACTATTATTTTGGCATGACGTGCTAACAAGTTTTTGGACTTAAATTTTCTCAATATCTCGAAGGTTCTCGTCTTTTTTAGATTATATTTTAAATCTAAAAAGACTTAAACCTTCTCGATAAAGAGAAAATTTCTGTCCGAAAACTTCATAACACTGCGAACCAAAATAACAGTGTAAATAGTTATCATGCTTAAAGGACTGTAAGCGTAATTATAAGTGACTCTCCATGCTAAGAGTGTAATGCCTGATTCACAACAGTACCTTTAAAACCTTTACTAATCACTAAAATAGAAGATAATATCGTGTTAAATCGAATATATTTTAAACTGGTGTAGGAATGCTGCAGAAACCGCAACTAATAAATTTTTAAAATTATAAGCATTGCTATCCATGTCATACTTGATCAGACAAAGCTTTTAATGTTACCGTTGTAAATCGGGCATTGTCATTTTTGCATGGAGGGTCACTTGTAATTACGCTTACAGTCCCTTTAACTAATTTGTAATTTAACAACCACTTTATATATCATTAATATTGGGTGAAAATTAATTGAAACTTTCATGCATATAAAATGTCCATAATTAGTAATATTGTAAACCTAATTTTATGTAGTTTTTATAAATAGGGAACTGGAAACACGTTAAGCAGAAACAAACTGATATTTAATATTTTTAATTCTATTTTGTTGGAAAAAAATAAACTTTAATGTTTTAGGCTCCCTTCTTATAAAAACTGGGAACTGTCCTGTAATAAATAACCCGAAATGTATACGCTTAGTTTGTGACTGTCGTGGGATGTAGCTATAATTTTTCAATTTTTTTAAAATTTTTAAAATTTTTTATTATTATTTTTTTTCAGGAGCCTCCAGTGATGGTCGCTGGACTATCATTGAGGTCTCTTCTAGATTACATAAATAATGATAATATTAGCGGACTTCAGGGCTTTCTACAGAATAAACATGTGCAGGTAAATCCCCCCCCCGTATATATAAAATGACTTATTTTTCACATTAGCTTTATGTCAGATAAATAGAAGGTAGTTAAAGTAGTAATAATTTAAATTTTAAAAATAAAGATGTGTATTGATTTGTATATAAATGGTAGAACTCAGGGTAGTGGGGAATTGAAAAAAATTCTTGAATAAGTATTGATAAAAAAGTTTTAACAAGTCGGTGGTAGTGAGGGTAGTGGGGAACTCAACCCCCCCCCCCCAAAAAAAAATGTAAGATTATAAGAGAGAGTAAAATCAATACACTCTGAATTTGGGGTTTTTACTGCAACAGAGGTGATTACTCCCTTTAAAGGGCCTGTAAGCGAAATTTCAATTAAAATTCCATGCAAATAGGGCAATGCCCGATTTACAAAAGTATCCTTAAAACCTTTGTGTGTTTGTGTGTAATCTTATCGAAACCCGCTTGTATTCAGCTACACATTCCTGTGTGCACTGTCCACAAAGCGCACAGTGTACGCAGCTGAATACAAGGAAGCGGGGTTCGATAAGTTTACACAAATCTCACAATAATACTTTATGGGTACCGTTGTAAATCGGGCATTGCCCTCTTTGCAAGGAGGGTCACTTGAAATTACGCTTACAGCCCCTTTAAATTCTGTTTTTCTGAACCTTATATCTTTGCAATCTGATGTGTACTGCCATGCCAACGGTACTATCCGACATAGTAACACAAGCTAGTAATGCAAAAAAAACCTACATGTTAATATTTCAAACTTTGAATTGCAGAATTCATAGTTTGAAATAGAAAAGGCCTGTCCCATTAGGTTGCAGAGAAAAGAGGATTAAGACATTAAAGTTTGAGGAGAGTAATCGGGTTCTATATAACATTTTTGGGATATAATACTAAGTTTTGGAAAGAATGTATGGAGAAATAAAACAAGAAAAAGGTATTTCCAATACTCCGAAAATAGTATCGAAAAATTTATAATTAGAATAAAATAAAAAAGTAAATCTTTAAATTGTAATCATATTGATTTTGAGAAAATACTAAGAAAAGACGATAGAAGGGTTCATAGTTCACATTAGAAATGGAAGGTAGGGGTTTACATTTTATGACCCATAATTGCTGGAAACATGATTGCTAGAAACATGATTGCTAGAAACATGACTGCTAGAAACACGATGGCCAGAATTTAGATTGCTAAAAATAAGATTGCTCGACACATCATTGCTAAAAACATGATAAAAAGAAACACGATTGCCAGAAACAAAATTGCTAGAAGCATGATTGCTAGAAATAATATTGCTAGAAACTCGATTGCAAGAAACATGATTGCTAAAACATTGTTACTAGTAACATAAATTGCTATTTTATATGATTGATAGAAACATGATTACTATTAATTTAATTGTTAGAAACATGATTGCCAGAAAAATAATTGCTAGAAACACAATTGCTAGAAACATAATTGCAAGAAACATGAGTACTAGAAACAAAATTGCTTTTTTATATAATTGTTGGAACATGATTGCTATTAAAATAATTGTTAGAAACATGATTACCAGAAAAATTATTGCTAAATATATGCTTGATAGAAAAATAATTGCTAGAAACAGAATTGCTTTTTTATATAATTGTTGGAAACATAATTGCTATTAAAATAATTGTTAGAATCATGATTGCCAGAAAAATGATTGCTACGTATATGATTGCTAGAAACATGATTGCTAGAAGTTCCCTAATTACTGATTATTTTCTGATGGTTTATTTAAAATCATGGGCGTGCACTGTAAATGGGGACAGGGATATAGAAAAGGTATATTTGGTGGGTAGGGGGCGTTCCGCGTTAACTGTATTTTTGAGCATTTATAGATTTAAGAAAACAGAGGCCGAATATAAAGAATTTGAGCCGCGGCTTAAATATTGTTAGTTCCACTTAAAATTATATTCAATATTTCAAGATTTAAGCCGGCGCTAAATTGAAACCGGTTTTTGTCGGATTTGAGACTCGGCTCAAAGTTCATTAAATTCGGACTCATATCTTATTAATTAAGATCGATGAATCTGATGAGGATGGATGGACTGCTCTTATACATGCAGTTGTTCTCGGCAAACTAGACGCTGTCTCCGTCTTAATTCGTAAGTTTTATGCTTTCTTCTTTCACAAGAAAAGTTTGGCTAAGCAGATAATAAAAGATAATAATTAGATATGAACTAAGAAACCGTCCAGTTGATTTATTTAAAAATATAAATTTATACATCAAGCGTGTCAGCTAGTATTGGACTTCCAACTTTGCCGCTGTCTATTATCAATTTTACATTTGTATTGCTATTTTACAAAGGAGCATTTATTCTCTTTTTCATGTTGAATTTTTACAATTTTGTTGAAATAACATCAAATCTGACCTATTGAGGCAAGGCGGTGTTTGTATAAAATGCCTTCTTTTTGAGCGAAAATTTAATGTTTTTTTAAAAAGAAAATGGTATTGAAGGTTTTAAAAGCTAGTTTTTGTACATTTTCTTAACACTTTTCAGATTATTAAATGCCTTTTTTTC